CCCTTTCCCGGACAATATATTGTGTGTAAAGGCAGAGTTGATGTTTAATGATCATGTTACATGGAATCACAGGGAAGGGGCCAGCTGTTTACAGCCTGCTTAACAATCAGACCCTGGTGGAATACTGAATTTCCTGTGGAGAAAATTTTGAATTTCTAGGATTCAGGCCTAATACAATATTCTTAAAAAAATTAAGAAAGCCTGCAATGTGAGTCATGAAAATGTGCACACATATACATTATCACTGCACCACTACATTACCACAATAAATGTTAATCACTTACAAAAAGTGGAAATGGACTTTAAGGAGATTTCTGAGCTATAAAGTACTTGTCCCATGGACTGTTTCTCCCACCTCTGCTGTGGATCACTGCCTCTCCTTCACAGTAATCATTGCATCTCAGACTTATGCCCTTCTAACCAAAACATAACCTTCTTGTGACAGACTAACAGTTGTGCCATTATTTTTCCATTTTTAAATAACAGGATGTTTCAGAAGATGTTAAAAATGTGGGACCTTTTCTTATCCTAATCCTAATTGGTCTTCTCCAAAACTTTATCCCTTGCTTGTCCTGAAAGCATCTTGGTCAGCATATTGGTGTTTGTTTAGATTTATTTTTCAACAAATCTGGGGCCTTGCAGAAACACATGTATTCAAGATCATGCAATATGTTATTTGGACACAGGCAGATGCCAGTCAACTAATTATGTGACTTCTGAAGGACCTGTTTGCACCAGAACATATTTAGGGATTTCACAGCAAAAGGAATGAAAGCTAATAAAACCTAGACTCTGAAGTCTCTTTATTTGTAAATCATTTAGAAAGGGCTGTTGATTTTTATGACATTTTTATAGCATGCACTACTCACACAGAACCATAACAGCACCCTGTACTAAATGTTTGACCTGACCAAACGTCACTAGAGTCTCCCTTTAAACAAGATACAACAGGAATTCTGAGGCCTAGGCTATGGGAGGGCTAGATCTCAATAATGTTCTAAAGACATGAAAGAAAAAACTATGCAGAAAGAAAACTAAGGGGTGAGGCATAATTTTCTCCAAGCAGTTTTTATCCGTGCAGTTCCCTTAATTGTTTTCAAACTACCTTTTCAATATGATGAAGGTGTCTGTCTTCCATATTTCTCAATATGCCCCTGTTCCTTAGGACCTAGTCGTATCGAAGTAACTCTTGTTCCCATGCCATTAAGAGTATTTTCTACTACTTGAAAAAGATTAAAATTTCAATATCAGCAATGTTACTCACCAATAGTAAAACTCCAAAGCCTATAACGATTATAAATTCCAACACTCTAAGAGCTGAAACTGTGATCAGTTGCATTCTGAGCCAATGAAGAATCCATAATCTAAACATATAAAATAAATATATTAAAGATATATATTTTTACAGCAAGTTTGGTTCAATAGCAAAAACATATTAAAACAATAGCTCAAATGTCAATAAATATAATAAGTGTCAAACTGTGGATCCTACTGCACAAGACATTCCAGAAGCAATGAAGTTGTTAAGACATTAGGATTTGAACAGCCTTGGCTCGTCCATTCAGCAAAGTCATTTTAGACGTAAATTAATGTTACTAAGTTCTAAGTGGCATCTAATTTGACAAACATGTGCACGATGCCGGCTATTTTTCCTGTGACGCAGGACAGACACATGTTAATAGCTTGGGTTGACCCTTAAGCACTACCATGTATTATCAGGCAGTTTAATCTGGAAAAGCAGCAGTACCACATAGCCTGCAATGTCTTCTAGCACTCGTCTCAACATTAGCAGCAGGCAGTGCTGAGGTAAGCAAAACTGCAAGTGTTTGGGTTCATGCCATGGATGAACAATTAGTTAATAAGTCATAGTGAATACTGTTGTTCTATTCAAGTTGTTCATAAGATCACAAACACTGCTCATATAAAAATAGCTATTCAGATATTTGTTCCATTATTTCCAGTGTGCATATGAGCACTCCCTTATAGAATTTAGGACCCTTTGGTAAGGCATGCAATTTATAGTAACGACCTTAAGCAACACTAAACAAATGCATGCACTACTGTAAATGAGATAAGGCTAAAGCTCTCCCATACACGAGGGAATATGATTGTTCATTTAGAACAATGAGACCCTTGGAAGAATCTTTTCTACCTAACATGCATATCCAACATTAATTTAATCTTAACTCAAACTTATAGTTAGAGCCAACGTGTGACAATTAAATGGTCACACATCGACGCAATAGATCGAGAAGTGAGAGAACACATACTGTCGCTCGTTCACTGCCCGATCAACTGTCTGTCACCGCTCCCCGCAGGGATTCCCCTCTCCCCTCTCCGATCCTCCAGCACTGATTGGAGGTACGGATGGGGGAGAGGGCGGGCACAGCTGGCTCTGCTTCTGAATAGGCAGAGCCCGCTGTCAATCAGCCAGGGGGGTGGATCTCGACAGTATTGTTAGGATCCCTCTTGGTAGCGGTACTCTCAGTATATAGTGTGAAATTGCCCGCTATATACTGAGCTTTGGATCACAGGAAGAGGTTAGTATATGTCCTCCCAATGGCCCTAAAGATAACTATGGGATAAAGAGGTTACCCCATAGTGCTCTTTTAATCTTTGCTGCAGTAGTATAAAATGGAGGCACACAAAAGGCTGAAGTTAAACATTTAGATTGACTTTTTAAGAGTGGACTTTTGAGCCTACGCCTTTTCTCAGGTAAAACAAATAAAAAGGAAGCCCTTGCTTCAAATAAGAGTGACATTTTACTAGCCTCATTGTTTACATTTTTATATCATTTGGTTTAATAACAACATGACAAGGTTACGGCTGCCTGACAGTGGATACACCGACCTCCTAGGCCGATGCATCCAATGCCAGCCATTATCCAGTACAGTCCCTTCTCCCCCTCCACTTCAGTCATTGGTTGCTAGGTCCGCTGGCATCTTTGCAAACAATGACTTCAGCAAGGCTGCCTGTAGGGGAGGTACAGCCAGGCCTGCCATACTGGGCCAAACCCTCCGCCATTGTTTTCAGGGACCTGGCTGAAGTGCCGGGTAAACATATGATCAAGCACATTTGTCTGTATTGGAGGTCTAATAGACCCCTGATGTCTCCATAAAGAGAACCTGTCACCCTGAAATGCTGTCACATAGGGGCTTGTTAGTCGCTTTGTAATAGCAAAAATTAGATGAAAAAAAATTAAAAAGATGGTAATTAAAAAAAAGTTAGAAAATAAAAAAATGTAATACTAAATTTAAAAAAATAAAACCAACCCTGCTTCCTGATTTGAACGAGCACATACGAGAAAGACATGCATGTGTATGTACGCGGGAAGGGAAGGAGAAGGGGGGAGTTCTAACAAAAATGTAAACAAAAATAAACAGTGCAATGTGCCGGAATCAGCCCATCAGCACTGTGCTTCGAAACACACCCCAGCAGTGTTTTGTAGTGCAGCTGCTGGTGTGAATGCAGCCTAAATGGCAGTCCATGGTATGGATATGGACTGAGTGACTGTTCTGTCCGGACCCTGATTCGGACCTCAGCTTGATGAAAATTTTACACACTGAACCTCCTTGTATTTTAATTCACTACCCCTGCTGTAAACAATACGATCTTCATAATACATTAAATGAACAGTTACAATTTACATAAATAGAGAGTTATAGTGACACTATTAACGACAATGGAAACCTATTTTAAAACTAATATTCATATAGGAAATATATCACTTTGCTGCAATTGTATGTCTTTTTTAAATATACATTTTTTTTCTGGTATATTTATCACTTTTCTAAAGATCTAAAACAGTTGATGGCAGACAATGCAAACTCTTCATTACACAAAGTGGTTACACTAGTACACAAACTCTTGTGTATTATCAAGCTTCGCAGTGTGCACTTTTAGTTTCTCAATGTGGACATTTTCTTTTTGCAACTCTATGTATTAAAACATGTATTAAAACATGTGTATTTTAACGTGAATTGTACACTTTTTATTAATAATTCCTAAGGATGATGTGCTCTATAGAAACTGCAGGTAAACTGAAGCAATCACAATGTTTTTTAACTGCTCAATACAAAAAAAGATGGGTGAAAACAACTCCCATGTTTGAAAAGCACATAAAGCGCAGAGGTGCCCTTATTCCTATGAGTTCAATTCGACACAAAAATGCAGGGTATGTATGTACTTAATGCACTAATTACCAAGAGTGGCTAATAATGGTCCCAATACCCCCATTTACCATTCTAAAAGAGCCAGTCATCACAAAGCCTTATTAAACACCCTTTGTTACAGAGCTGTTAAGTGTACTAGAAAACCGTTTAGGTCATTAAGTTCAGCCGTTTGATTTGCTCATACAGCAAACAATGCTTATACTTGTATTGATTTTCTAAAGGCAAGCTGGTAGTGCATTGCTGATGATGGCTATTTAGAATGGAAATACCGTAAGACACTGTAAGCTACGCCTAGAATACAAATGCATAGGTCACTAACTTACTTTTACATTATAAGAACACTTATTAATGATCTACAAATTCACCTGACATCTTGAACAATGTGTTGCACTTTTCAGTCTGTTACTATGCTTATTTTCAAAAGGAAGAGCATGTGTTATTTTGATAAAAGGACCTCTTAGGATTGCAGTTTATTCAATCATAATTTTAAATGGCAGATGTTACTTTCATTGATCTCTGGTTCCCTGGCTTGGAGCTCACTTAGCACAAACAGTCAATCCATCTGCTGTGTTTGACAGTGGTGAATCTCACAGTTCATTAAACATGACTTAAAGTAGTTATGTCTACTGTCTTTTACATATTATAGTGCTGCCAAACTAACAAATATATCCTAATCTTTATGTAAGACTAATGTTCACTGCTAGATGCATGTTGATGGTATTATTCCATGACAATGATGCTCCCTATATGGAAAACAGCATATATTGTACAATATAGTATTTATATTTCATATTGCAATCATTGTGTTATAAGACTATTTCTGATTCATTATGGGTTTTAGTTAAAAATAAACTAATATACTGTATTTTCAGTAGTTAATAACTTTTTTATGCCAATGTCTACAGGATCCCTCAATATATACGGTAGTATGTGTTTGTATACGAGGATGCATGTAGGATACAGTATACAGAAATATAGAATAAACAGACCCCAAGAGTGTACAAAAAAAACCAAAACTATCCTAAATAAAAAATAGGAGATGCAGTTGGGTTCCAGGAGAATGTCAATCCATGACTCAGGTTGCAAAAAACAGTAAATTCCAATGCATGACAATCATGTCTCTAAATCTCACCACTCATGACCAGAATGTGGCAAGAGTCCCAGATAACATGTACAGACTAAACAACCAATGGTAATCTAAAAGCAGCAAATTTCAGGTGAAGTAAAGCTAGGTTTAATCCAATGCTAGATTTTTCATTCCTGTATATGTCCCTTTCACCATATGACTAGCCCTACAGTGACCGCCATAATTCTGCTGTGCCCTGAGCCTGCTGGTTTTTCTCCATGGAATGCATTAACTGAATATTCATATGGGGGAATCATTAGGGGTTGATCAAGCTATGCCACTGGTCTCCTGGTTGATCCTCCCTTGGAATGTACTAAAAAGCAAATACCAGAAAGTTCAGCCACAGCCAAAACCCTTACTGTCCCAATAAGACTGGGTATGGTTACTGATAATTTCCCTGTGGCCAAAGCCAGCAGTTAAAGTGTATCTAATCCCCCAAACAAAAATGCAATATACTGCAGCTTACTAGGCCTTAGATGTGGCTGCATTTGTTTTCTTTTTTCATGCTACGAACATTTTTAGCAAGTACTGAAAATACTTGTTGATTTTGCCAGAAATGCAATGTTTTTGTCACTTCCTGCAAGCAGAAAAAACAGCCTAAACAATGTTATCTTTCTTTTGTAACCTACTAGTCCCATCAATACACCATGTCATGGAGATAAATAAAGGCAGACATGTTTAAGGTCCAGGCTATTTGATAGCCATGGCTTCTTCCATAGATAACATAGATAACATGAAGTAAATGTAGACACAAGGGACAGAAAGTTTGCTTTCTTGCAGCATTACAAGGGATAAAATAAAAGACAAAAAGCATAAAAAGAACCAGGCAACAGAATAGTAATGCAGTCATCATATCTAGGGACTGGTAAGCTGCAATATATTACATTTTTGATTATAGGTTTAAATACGCTTTAGGATCCAGGATTTCAGTGAGTGAGTATATCTAGCCCCATTACACTAAATAATTAACAAATGTTTGGGATAGACATTCGCTTTATTGGCCTCACTCAATATAAACCTATAAAGTACATCAGTGAAGTGAATTCTGGTTTGCGGTTTGTTTTTAGGTCATAAGTCTTATAAATAGAGGTAATGTGTATCTAAACCCAAAAACAAAAATTGAATATATTGCAGCTCACCAATCCTTAAATGTAATGGTTACATTTGTTTTCTTTTTTAGGCTTTTAGTTTTTCATTTTCACCTGGTGATCCGGCCAGTAACACACTTGCTGCCTTGAGGTGCCTTCATTCTATGGAGGAGAAATTGAGCCAACCTTTGGCAGCAGCAATGTCAACCTGGGAAAAGGGTAGTGTTAGGTGGACTAGCAGATGTAGATAGAATTGATTAAAAGAATAAATCTGAATTTGTGTTAACACCTTTTAATCAGTTACAGCAAAAATGTATTTTTAATAAAAAGTATTAAGGGGAACCCTCCCTAATGGAGCCCTGGACAGCAGGAAAAACAGCAGGAAAAAAAAAAACTTTGGCTTGACATAAACTTTAGTCTTTCATTCCTAATGGCACAATAATTTGGTACTGCGCAGCGCAAAATAAGCCAACTGTGAAAACAAAAACAATCTACTAGGATCTAAACTGCAACCTGTACTCATTTCTTGTAATTGCAGTAACAAAATAAACACAGACCCCTGAAGCTACACAAAGAGCATATTCAAGTCCCTCAAATGCTTTACGCACACTAAGCAGAAAAACATTGAGTTCAGGTGAACTCATGAAATGCTTTTCTATGACTAAATGCACACCAAGAGATCCAGCAGTGTCTAGGTGCATTCAGTCTGGAAGTGTTTACCCAAAGTAGAAATTTCTACAGTCCGGGTCCGGTTCTACACAGCTAAACAAAAGTAAACGCATGTAAACACAACTATACCCCACAACAACTAAACGAAGGAAAAAGTGATCTGGGAAACATAAAGTTGTTTATACAGTACTTAGCAGATAACTTCTCTTGTGCTTAAACATAGCCTGCTAGTGTGCATGAGGCATTACTGCACATTGCAAAGTAACACACCATGCCCAAATCAATAAACAATTTTTTTCTGAAAAAAACACACTATATTATAGAACTGCTAATACAGTATATGATTTCCCTAGACTGCAAAAGGCAAACAACTGTGCTGATGCAAATTCACTTTGATTTCAACTTACTCTTTTGATGCTTCATTCCAGATAATAATGGGTAACAGGCAATACACGTAGTAAGTCCATGGACTTGACTGGATTACCAGGAAAAAGACAGTGCACAGTGCCAGAGTTAAAAATCCATATTTCACAAGAGACGATGTTGCCTGCAAAATAATGAAATTGAAAATACCTTTTAGAAAAATGTTAAACTCAGCTGTTCTGATATACAGATTATGGCAACATTCTGAAATGTCTACCTTCCAGTGGAACTCCAGACAGAATTTTGGAGATGGAAGGGCTAAGATGCTCTTTCAAATTTGTATTACTGATCAAAGAAGAAAGTCAGCAAACCAGGTTCCAGTTGAATATTTTGGTAAAGCTCTATGGGACCAATGTAATATTTCAGGGACATGCGGGTCCCCTTTGCCAACATGCTCTCTGGAACAGGTATGCACGTAACTAAAGCAAATACCAGTTTTCTTTCTTCAGAACAGATTGGCTTTGATTGGCAAAGTTGTGTCAATCAGTCTAATAGTCTTAGGTCAAACTCTCTTTGCCCTCAGAGCAAGCGCGTCTCCTCTTCTCTTCCAATCAGCCTCACCAGAGCACTTTTTTTTAGTATCTCTAGAGAAGTATTTGAGATTGATTTTATAAGCACACATAGGCTGTTTACTTTGCAAGTGAATTTTCCCTTAGCTGAGTGAATGTGATGAAAATTCATTTTTCAAAGAATACCCAATCACAAGAAAGGAAAATAAGAAAAAAAAAACACATCATTTTTGCTTGCACATAGTTACATAGTATTTGAGGTTGAATAAAGACATTAGTCCATCAAGTCCAACCTATTAGGATCTCATTCTAGGAGTACCTGTACCCCTGTATATTACGGTCCCTTAAGAAATCGTCCAAAAGTTTCTTGAACAATTCCACATTCTTTGCTGAAATCACTGCCTGTGGCAGTGAGTTCCAGACCCTAATTGATCTTACTGTGAAGATCCCCCTTCGCCCCTTGTGCTAGAATTTTTTTTCCACCAATTTTAGCTGATGGCCTCTAGTTTTTGTAATGGAATTAATTTTAAACAGTTTATCGCTAATGTTGTGTTGATGCTGGCAGAGCCAGCTGTCACTCACACAGCTGGGTGGATCTCAACAGTATTGTCGGGATCCGTCCCAGCTGCGGCACTCTCAGTATATCGCGGGCTGTACTGAAGTTTGGGTCATGGGTGGAGGTTAGTATATGTCCTCCCGTGACCCTAAAGAGACCTATGGGGAAAACACTTACCCCATAGTTCTCTTTTAAGTGAAACAACCCCTATCTCTTCACATGGTGGGCCCTCTTAGGCAGGATCTATTTTGCTCTGCAAATGGCAGGCTCTTTAAACAAGTATCTGTGCACAGCAGGCTCCTACAGTTTCCAATGTACTCTTTAAAAAAAAAAGCAGCTTAAGCACTTGCCCAAATACTCTTCCAGCCAGAGTTGCATCAAAAGTTTGTCACGGGGCCCTATAATTTGTAATAAGACCTCAAGTCTAGACACAGGAAATCATGGAACACCACCAAGTACTACAAGTATCTTAAAGTAGAAGTGCAGCCAGAACTTTTTGTTTTAGTTTTGGATAAAGCAAGGGAGGATTATAACTAGGGATGCACTGATACTAATATTGGTATCAGTGGTGATACTGGGCATTTTCACGAGTACTCATACTTGTGAAAATGCCCTGATACTAAGCACTGATACCGGCCCGTAAAATTTTTAAACAAAAGCGGTCGCCGTAAGGTCCGTGCCCGCTAGTGAGCAACACAGAGAATGTAGCTTCCTATTGTTCTGCATTGCTGTATAATATATTGCTGGGATTTGTAGTCCTTTATTGCTTTGGTATTCTGCATTGTTGTACAATGTATATGCTGGGGTTTGTAGTCCTCTATAGCTGGTGGTATTTTGCATTGCTGTACAATGTATTGCTGGGATTTGTAGTCCCTCTACAGCTTGTATTCAGTGGCAGAACTATCAGGGTCGCAGCGGCTACAGCTGCAACTGGGCTCCGATGCTCCACCACTGTCCTAAAATAATTAGTCTATATTGCTAAGAAAAACTGTCAAATGACACTAGAAAAAAAAGTATTGGTAATTGGTATCAGCGAGTAGTTGATAAAAAGTATTGGTACTCGTACTCGGTCTTGAAAAAATGGTATCAGTGCATCCCTAGTTATAACCCCTGTCAGTTTTTTTTGCCATCTGTGTCCCAGTGGGGAGCTTTACCTTCATTACCTGTTCAATAGCCACAACAGGAAGTGAGAGGAGATTCCTGCAAAGGGAGGAAAATCCCTGGTGGGCAGTAAGGTCATCAGAACTAGTGTCCCTATTGGAATATTCACATCTACTCCTGTTCTGATCACAACCCAAAATGTGGGATTTTCTTTCATGTTCTATTAATAAAATTTTGTTTTTTTCATAATTCTGCCCCAGGTACAATGGACACCAGTACAAATAAAGACATTGAAAGGATGAATTTAAATCTCAGCAGTGGTTCTAACCCTTCTGTACTCCTTCAAAAGGTAACAAAAAAAACTTTATTCAGACAGAAGCAAAAGTCATGTGTTATAAATAAAAGCAAAAACAGTATGTAGCAGTATATTTGCAGAACTTCGGACAAAAAGTTAAAGTATTATTAAACAGGTCTATACGCAAAAGGGTGAAGAGTTTGGAGAAGGCAGGAGAAGTGAACAATCTAGGACAACATAACTGAACTGGAAAGTGAGCTGAATTGGAGAATTTTTCCAAATTAGCTATTTTGGCCTAGATTGTTTACTTCACCTGCTTCTCCAAACTCTTCACCCTTACGTGAATAACCCTGTTAATGTTTTTGCAAATATGAACCCAGATCAAACAAATATAGATGACCCAGCAAAGTATTTCCTTACATTTTTGTCCAAGCACTTATAGTCATCATGTTTTCAAACAGCCAGCTCCAACTCTGTCAGCTCAGCTTCCCTTAACTTTCTGTCCTGTATAAGCTCACATGGGACAGCAAAGTCTCCAGCAGTAAGCCATATACTAGTTCGGAGAAGAGAGGAAGGAGGGGACTGGCTTGCCTTGCTGTGCCTTTTTGTTTGTGGAGAATCACAGCTTACTAGTACACACAAGGGTGGCTCCAGGACCCTGCAAGGGAAAAGAACCACCCAAAAACAGGATATCAGGGCCAGTGCTCATGTGGCCATCTGATTGTGAAGGAAACCAAAGCATCCAAAAATCAAGGAGAATAATCTATTGTATGCGATTTAGTCAGCATTTGAAATAGCGCAAACGCTTTTGACTTTAAAAATATATATATATTTGACAAGTAAACCGTAAAGATATATGTATTTCAATTGTGTATTTAACAGTTTTTGGGGAGTTTTACTTAATTAGTAACAAAATGCAGCTGAGAGCCTCTTGTTCACACAAATGATTTTTAAATACTAGTCAATACAATTTATAACATAATTTGGTTACTTAAAGTATAAAGTCATTATTTACATGTATTACAATCTGCACACAACACATTGCAGTAAGTTGTCACTTGTTGTTATCTGTAAACTTGCAGGACTAACCCTCTGAGCACACAGGATAAATGAAAAATGGATGCAATTTGCTTCTGGCTTGGCAATTCTCCATTATAAATGAAAGCAAACAATCCCGAAATAGCAGCCCCTCATGTTAATATGGCATCTATTTTAATTGTAACATGTAAATCAGTTCAAACGCAAATAAATTTAGGATGCAATTACTCCAGTGATAAACAGAACTTATGTAACAATGTTCAAAATATTTTTCGTAGAACATAAATGTGTACAGAATTTTTTTTAGTTTAAAAGCTACTAATTTGGTTTTAACAATCTAGTTTGCCCCTTACTATGTCTTTCAATAATGGTCAAGCTTTCTATGGAAGAGAAAATAAAAATGTTATTTCGGGCTGCAATAAATAATATAAATAGACTTTGCGCCCTCCACCTATATAAGCAGCGAGCACAAGATCTAATATAGTTATTTGACAAATTATCATAAATAAAATGAATGAGCCACGCTAAAGCGCAGCACATTTATTTTATTTATGACAATTTCAGGCTGCAATGTTGGTCAAACCTGTAATAATATCAAGTATAACATAGCTTAAGAGGTAATAAAGAACACAATCACTAAGTATTTACTCAAATGGTCTGCAATAATTAAACCGAGTAATTAAAGGAGTCGTTCACAGCAGGTACGTGATCGGTGTTGATCAACGCAGGCACAATACTAGGACACTGGGAAAACAATTGTTCTTCATGTGCCCTGTCCACACCACACAAGTAAAAAAAAGTAAAAACACTGTAATGCATTGTAACAATGCATCACAACGAACATACACAACATGCAAGTGTTATGCGCACAATAACATGCGATCGCGGGTGTGGCTGTTCCTTTAATGTAAAGTGTTGTATCTGTGACAATTAATTAGAATCCTGTACTTCAGTAAAATGAATTCAGAAAGGTTGCTATAGATTACAACTGTTTCCATGCAACACTTTGCTCCTTTAGCTGTTAAGCATTTTAACCCTTTCGCTGCCACCGCTGTAAGGCATACGGAGGAACAAAACTGTTCCTGAACTTACGGCATTTACAGTTCTGCTATCAACTCATGGTCGCTTTAGCGATCATGAACTCATAGTAGCACTGTTCCCTGGACTGTCCCCTTGTGAGCCGCTGACAGCTATTAACAAAAATTCAGCCGGCATCTGCAGCCTCTCATCCCTGCCTGGAACCACTCCAGGCAGGGATATGCGTCTCCATGGATCCCCGTTGCTCTCCTCCGCTTGTATGGGCTGAGGCAGTAGGGATCCGAAAAGAAATGTCCGGTGAGGGGGTGGAGGAACGAGCGGCGGCTGGCGGTGAGAAGCCGCAAGTGTCAGGATGGCCGAGCAGTGAGGAGATCTGAGCCACTGTTATCCTGTCAGTTTTCAGATGACAGCGGCTCTGTGAGTGGCTGAGCGGGGGATCGGTAAATATCAGTGATATTTACCTATCCTCTGTGCAGAGCAAACACTGGAGTGATCGTCCGATCACTCCACTGTTTGCAAATAACTGGGGACACACAGTACTATGTGTCCCCAATTATGAATGAACAGGATGTGATTTACATCACTTC